GGGGGGGGGGGCTCTATCTCTGCAAAGGACGGGAACAAAGAGCAGGAGGCTGAAGGCCACAATAAACACAAAAAAATGACAAAAAGAGGTGAAGAAACAGCACAATACACCCCTACTCTCCTGAAACAGCACAGGCCAAATCATCATCCTAATTACATGGGGCTGATCTTCACTTATGATTATGTAATCATGCAATTATGGTTAATAGGGTCGTGCCCCACACACGGAGCGCAATGCCTGAAGAACATGGCCGCGTTTTATAGCGTTAAGAAGCCGTCCCCATGTAATTAAACTCGTAAATCACGCCGTACTCGTATGAACTTAGCATCAAGCCTCAGTGCTGCCTGCAAGCCACTGTATCTCCTACGTCTGCCTCTGGAACGTTCCGGAGCTTTTATACATGCTTAATGGATCTTGTCAGGACAGGGTGAGACCAAAACTCTAAGTCTTCATTGCCACATGACCAAGATATTTACTGGCATAGCTTGCTACTGTAGGGGACACCATGACAAAAGGCACTTAACAACCAGGGTATAAGCAGACTGAGATTAAATACAAGACCTAAGATACACAACAGAGAGCAATAAACTCGAAGTAGGTGATAAATATGCAAAGTATGCAGAATTTGACACAGGCGCAGTACAGACGACACATGCACAATAGAGGGGGCTATCTTTCTAACCTAAACACCTGTACAAAAGGACATAATGTCACCAAAAGGCAAAATCACATTGGCTTATGCATGGTTATGTCTCGGAGCGCTAATACGCTAACTAACAGCAATTACATCGCTATAAATAAACATGAACAAGGTGAGAAAAAAGCATTTAAGAAGTTACTGCACAGAACATAAAAGAAAAGCTTGAACGCTCAAAGAAGAGCTTGATCTTTAATGGGTTCAGGTGGTAAATAATCTGCTATAACCCATTATTTTTATCGCGTGATTTTGCATGGCATGAGATTTTACGGTGACGTGTCTGTTGCATCATAGAATAAAATACTGTAGTCTAACACAGCACAACATTTTCATCGAGGATGTTTTGTGTCCAGGTGTCCGTCTTTGTGCCGATTCAGTTCCTTAAGTAGTGAATGTTTGGGAAACGCTGTTGTATCTCAAGATTCAAACGTGCTTGGACAAGTGTAGCCCGTTTCATAGAACATATGCTCTCCACAGAAGCTCTCTGAAGCAGAACTAGCCCCGGCAGGGATAGGGAACTGATCCATAGCAGGACAGAACGGGGACTTCATTGGGGTTTTGGGATTTAACAAACTGGGGAAACAAAGACAAAGAGCGGCCATTTTGGTTCCAGGGAAGAGGGAAATAGGGGAACAAGGAGGGCATTAAAATCACAAGTAGGCATGGGAGAAGGGTGTCTAACCAAGACTCTGGGGAGGAAACAGAGTCTGTTTTTAAATGAGTCTTTAGCTACAGGTGAATAAATTTGTCTGATTTCCTGGCTTCACCTCCGCTGGTGACATCCACCCCCTGTGACACTCAGGCAGCCTCTGGACTTTACCCCAAAGTGCACAAAAACAGCCCAATCTGATTCCACGTCACACATAACCTCATTGCATCCTGAAACCACCACACAGGAACTATTTACAGTAGCCGTCTATAAACCCGAATGCACCCTTGAAGCCCCACAGAGCTGCTCCGCGTCTGCCTGCCGCTGCCGTCTGGCTGCTGTTTACTAAGCAATCCGCCTTTCTGAAGCGAATCAGTTTGGGAGATAAGACGGGTACGCCGTCGTTTTCCTTTAATGTACAGGGACTGTTCATCATTGTGAGAGACCATCTAAATTGCCTGTCAATTTTGCACTTTGAATGAAGACAAAGGAACAACAGGGCGGGCTGAAGCCAAGCCTAGCCCTCCTCTCTGCAGGGCAATATTTAATTATTTATTGAGCGGGTGTGCTTTCTTCTTCACAGCGACGGTGAGAGAGAGAGCTTTGGGGGTCGAGGCCTTTTTTTTTTCCCTCCCCAGGCGAACGCACGTGAAAGCTGCCTATCGAGAGTATGTGTGACACATTGCCGACTGCATGTGGGGGGGTGGGGGGTAAGCTTTAAATGTCCATCCCACTCTCCTTCGGCTCATGACCCCATACTTGTGCGTATCACAGCAATAAGCTTGTGGAGTTTTGTTTATTTGTGATGATTTACAGGTGGCATGGAGGTGATGTGATGATTTACAGGTGCTACAGCTTAGCACTGCTGCCTTTCAGCTCCGGGTCAGGGGTTTGAGCCTCTGCCCCGGCGGCTCTATGCATGTGAAGCAGGGGTGGACTGGTAGGCAGGGCAGCTGGGGCAACTGGCCCTGGGTCCCGCCGGCTCCCCTCTGCAGATGTCATATATATATAAAACGTCTATGAGGATTAAGGCTCTGATAGTAAATAAGCCTGTAACATGCTACTTTTATGACTCTCATTTTCATGTATACAATCTCATTATGGTGGGAGTCATAACACAAAATATTTGGCTCAATACTTAAAACAAATTTGAAATGTAATAGTTTGTAATGTTTTGTAGTCAAACTATGTTGTCGAAGCTTGTATTTAACGAAAAAGAGCATATTTGTGGAATTTGCTAACTACTGCAGTGCATGATGGGTAAGATATTTGGAGGCTGCTTAAATTTCATCATCATTGTAGGCAGGCCCTCGGAAGGGGGGGGTGGGGCAGTGTACAGTTGGAGCCCCGGCCTGGGTTGCTCCCTGGCTTGTGCCTGTTGCTTCCAGGATAGGCTCCGTGATCCTGCAGGCGGGTGTGGAAAATGTATGGAGACTTTTTATTTAGCATTTAAGGAAGCCCTCCTGCATGTCTTTATCTTACCTCTTCTCTCCATCACATCTTTATCGCTGCCTCTCCTCTCCTCACCTGAACTCAAGCAGAAACACAGCCGCGAAAGGCCACATTCATTTTAGGGTTTTACAGACCACAAAGACAAGGGTATAAAGTACTGCTTAGGGACTATTAATGAGACACTAGCTGGTTGTGAGCTTTGTGGGGAGGGGGAACACAGGTTGACCTGTGAATTAGAACAGGATGCACTAAAAAGATTCATTTTATCAGAATTTGTGTATTT